CAAAGTTGCAGTTCTTTTTGGGGTTCTTCCTTGTCTCCAGAAAGAAAGGCAAGGGAGGAAGAAGGGGGGGGGATCTTTCCTAAAGCTGACAGCTTAACAAATTGAAAGTTAAGAGAACCAACTGAGCAGACCTATTTCAAATTAGTTTCTGTCTGCTTTTTTTTCCAGTTCGAACACATGACTCTATTTTTAGTCCTCAAAAGTTTCTTCCTCCTCTTCTTGCAAATCACTAAAGGATTTCCCTCCAAAACTAAAGGAAGCTTTCTTAAACAGACGTACAAATTGTCTTGTAAGTAATTGTTTCAGTATGACATTCTTCATCAACATATGTCCCCTACCTCTTTGATTATTTATTATTGTTGTTCTCACTTCAGGTTTTGCAACTGCCCAAAGTAAAAGACAAAACGGACTGAAATCCACTCCTCCCAAAATAGAATTTACTCCCTTTGTAAACATAATGCTCAACCAGTGATGATTTTTGAAGGGAGGGACCAGAGATTTAAGTCTGGAAGTTGTAGCTGAATCAACTCACACATATGCTGAGTGATCCATTGGGCCATACATGATACTCTGAATTAACTTCTCCCTTCCTTATACAGGTAGTCCTAGACTTACAACCATTTGTTTAGTAACTGTTTGAAGTTACAATGACATCAAAAAAAAGTAACCTATGACAGTTTTTTACACTTATGACATTTGCAGCGACCACATGGTTGTGTGATCAAAATTCAGATGCTTGCAACTGGCTCATATTTATGACGGTTGCAGTGTCCCAGGGTCATGTTATCCCCTATTGCAACCTTCTGAAAAGTAAAATCAATGAAGAAGCCAGATTCACTTAATAACTATGTCACTAATTTTACAACTGTAGTGATTCACTTAACAACTGTGGCAAGAAAGGTTGTAAAATGGGGCACTTAACATTTGTCTTGTTTAACAACAGAAATTTTGGGCTCAATTGTGATTGTACATCAAGGACTGTAATTGTTCTGGCCATTCTAAGGAAGAGAGAGAGTTCTTATTAACAGAAAAAATCTTCAGAAATGTTTTTAAACACTTGCAATCTATTGTAAAGTCATGGTGGCTATAAGGAAACATTGGGCATGTCTAATATGATCGATTATTCCCAGATTATAAGGCAATTAGCCATATATTTTACCTTTTAATGTTTCAGTTTTACTAGGCAGTCCTTACAATTGGAATCAGAATTTCTATTGTTAAGGAAGACAGTTGTTAAGCGAGTCACATATGATTTATGACCTTTTTTGCCAGTGTCCTTAAGTGAATCACATAATCATTAAGCAAATCCACCTTCTGTCATGACTTTTCTTATTGGAAGCCAGATGTGAAGGTCGCAAAAGGCGATCACCTGCTAGTTTCCTGCTAGTACCTGCTAGTTTCCAAGCACCCGAATTTTAATCGCATAACAGTGGGGCTGTAAGTCCAAGGATCAGTCATAAGTCACTTTTTTCAGTGCCATTGTAACTTTGAATGGTTGTAAATTGAGGACTACCTGTATTTTTTGTTGTTGGTTGTAGAGTATGAAAAGGGAAAGAATGAAAGCTGGTAAAGTGACAATCTCTGACTTTTATTCCAGTGAAAGCACCAATAAATACAGGACAAATAGAAGGACCCATCAGGCCTAAGAAACTTATTCTTTTGTAACATTGCCTTGAAAGATGGGAAGAAGAAGAAACCAGGATTTAAAACTGGGGACTAACATATATGAAGGGTAGGATTCCAGATGGCTGTTAGAGTGAGAACCACTTGGTATGTGCCTCTTCTTCAATCTCCGAGATCAACCTATTTATCTAACCTTATTTCTGCTAGAGAATGTGATAATGGCAAGAGAATTTAATAGCCAGACCTGATATCAAGCTGTAGCAGAACAAATGCAAATTGTCCAGATGTCTGGCTTGAGAGATGCGCTGCACAGCCTGGACCAATGTCTTTTGCCACATGACTCTGGTTAATAGGCAACACTCCTTGCAGGGGACAGCTAATCTCGTCAATGAGTATTCCTGGACTTTAAAAGAAGAGCTAACTGTGCCAATATCAAGCCACAATATTATTATCTGGGCATTTTCTCTCTTCCATCAACCCAAGGTTTGTTTTTAAATAGAGCTGTCATGGTTTTTACCTGCCTGATAGGTTGACTGACTGAGTTCTTCAGTGCTATAATGAACACTGGCCATTTACCAACTGATTGGTTAACAAGTGCAACAGTTCCCATTTTTAAGAACAAGGGTGACCCAACTGACTGTGCCAAATATTGCCCAATCTGCCTTCTGTCTCACACTATGAAGATCTTTGAGAGAATCCTTCTCTCAAGAGAGACCCCGCCTCAACATCAATAAAACTGAGTACTTAGAGACTGTCAATACCCCTGGAATGCTTCAAATCAATGGAGAAAACCTACAGAAGGTGGACATTTTTCAGTATCTGGGATCCCACCTCCAAGGCAATGGCGACATCAAGAAGGTGGACATTTTTCAGTATCTGATCCCATCTCCAAGGCAATGGCAAGGTACGAGCAAGGGTGAATGCAGCCTGGATGCGTTGGTGAGAACTCACTGGTGTGTTATGTGTCAAACGAATGCCAACCCCTTTTTAAATCTAAGATTTACAAGACAACCATCCACCCTGTTCCACTGTATGGCACTGAATGCTAGGCAGCAACAACAGGGACTGAAAGCTATCTCCATGCCATGGAAATGCGAATGTTCCTTTGGATATCGGGCATCTCCTTCCTTGACCACATCACAAATGACACCATTTGACGATATTTTGTTATAGAGAAGATGAGAGAAGGCCAGCTCCGCTGGTATGGACATGTCCTAAGAGCAGCACCTTCTACTATGGCCAAGACTGTCTACCAACTAGAAGTCAATGGCCGGTGACTTTGTGGGCACCCAAAATAGAGATGGCAAGACACCATCAACAAAGATATGCAAACCATGGGCCTGTGTCCTGGAGACGCAGCTGACCATGCAAAGTGGTGTTCAATGATCCCGAAAAGTGGACCCTGCGCTTGTGGGAATACGCTAGGAAGAAGAAGAAGATAGTTTTTACCTGTCCAAGGTAACATAAAAGTTCATTATAAATTCAGCAAGTGAATGTTGTTAGGATAGGACCACTGTCAGGATTGCCATCGTGCTACACCAGCCGTGTTTAGCCAGATGCCAGTCTGCCATAGCCAATGGAGGGAGGGAGAGATGAAGGAAGGTAGAGGGGAAGCTGGGATAAGGGGAATCGAAACTACTCTGTGCCGTCCCATGAGAGCCACTGGCTGTTTCAAAGTCATGGAATGAGAAACAAGGAGGAAGTACTAGCACTTCTTTGTCAAGTGGGTAGCAAATATAATTTAAAACTTGAACTAAGTTTTAAGAAAATTACATTTCAAATAATTTTGCAGATGTTTCTTTGAGCACTGGTGTAGGTATTCACTGAGCCCCACTGTCAAGAGCAGGAAATCAGTTGTCCAGGTAATTCAAACAAAAATATAAGTTTAATGCATGCTAAAGCTCTCTACAAGAATCTGAACTACTAACAGTTAAGGCAAATTAATGGTAATCAGTGTAATTCAATGAGGGCTGGACTTAGTTCTTTTGTGAGGATGAAGGAACTTGAAACTGTATTTGACCCCTCCCTCAGGCTCAGCCTGGTCATCTCCTACACCCACGTGGGATATGATTGAATGTTCTGTCTTTCATTGCATAATCCTTCTCCAACACCAAGTAGCCTTCCTAATTCCAGTTTTTCCATTCAGTCCCAAAGGAAGACATCAGGAAGAGCACCATGAATCCTTTTCAGATGTGGAAGTCAAGGAGCTAGAGAAAAGCTGTAGGAACATTGCTGTTTTGCAACCATAGGGGAAAATCAAAAACACCCCCAAGGAGGATCTGTAGATATGTGTGGATGAGAAAATGCTGGCAATTGTGCAGTTTTATAAGATATGGTTTTGAAATGTGTTTGAACTGTTGCTTCTCAACTAGTTTTTGGCTTTAAAATGTTTCCATTGTCAGGTCCACAAAATCAGGAAGTCCAGGCAGTTCAAAAAAATATAGGTTTATTTATACTAATGCTCTCTATAAGAATCTGAAGTATTAACGGTCAAAGCAAATTGGTGGCAGATAAGTGTCCATGGAATTCAAGGCGTGCTGGACTTAGATCTCTTATGGATATGAAGGGACTCAAGATAGATGACGCATTTGACCCCTCGGTTGGGCTCAGCCTGGACATCCAAAGTCTTAGGATTTCCAATTCTGGCAATTGTTGTATGACTTGTAAGCTGCCCAGAGTTGTTTTGTACATCAAGATAAGCGGCATATAAATTTAATAAATAACTACAATAAATAAATATACAAACAACAAGTCAAGAGAGAGACCTGGGTAGTGTTTTGTATTAGATTTACAAAAGAGACATTTGAAGCAACATGTGAGAAGAGCAACGAAAAAAATGAACAGAAATCAAGTTGTACAACATTTTTTAAATGGACTAAAAATTGAGATTGTTAGAAGCAAAAAGAAAGAATGTACGGTTGGTCTATTTGATCATCGTTAAAACAGATATGTTATTATCTCTAGTACCACTTAGTGGACTTCTGCTGACACCAGGACTGAAATGATGAGGTTTTATGGATTTGTTTATAGATAAGAGATTTGGGAAGAAGAGATCATTTGTTGTATTTTAAGAGAAGATGATAAGTTACTATAATTGTTTATACTTAATAAAAGTGTATATAAAAAATTAAAATTGTTTACACTTGTGATGAATGAGAAGTCATTTTATATATATTTTCTTTTTCTTTAATATGATCTAATTTTTCTTTCTTTTCTTTGTCTCTAATTGTTCCTTTTTTCACACATCTATTCTTTATTTTTCTAACGTATCTTTTTCAGTTTTCATTAGTTTTTAACTCTTATAAGTGTAATCTTTAATAAAAATTATCATAAAAATAAGCAAACACTCAGAACATTCTTTTCTTCTGTTCTTTTAGACTTCATTCGACTACCTCCTTCCACCTCTCAGTGGTGTCTCTAACCTGAAGCACAGAGCTCCAGTGTTGGGTGTCTTGGGAATGGTAACTCTGAGTTACATACACCAGGTCGCTATGCAGCTAAATAAAACTCCAGAGGCAACAGTTCAGAGCCAAGAGAAAGCTTGGAGCAAGAGTTTATGGTCATCCTGGTAAGCAGCTCAAAGGTCTCAGCCTGAGTGCTGAGTCCTAATTCTCAAATCATCTTCCTAAACAAGCTTCTTCATAAGACCAGGGAAGACCTGGACAAAGGATACACGAGAAATTAAACAGGGGGAGTAAGCTATTTTTGCTATCCAAACATGCCTTGTTGGTTTTCCAAAATGTTTGTGGGATGTTAGTCCTTTTTCATATGTCAGTGTAGAATCGTGAAATGTAAAGCAGGTAATGAGAGCTAATTTAGATTGGAAGAACTCTCCTTTTTTACCACTAGATGGCAAAATTCAATCGAAGTCGTTCATGACTACCTCTTTTAAGTATTGCGAGATAAATCTAGAAGGAAAGTGACATCTAAAATAAATGCATGTAATCACGACAAAGTTAGGCAGAATAACAAGAAAACAAAACACTCTGGTGGTTTGCTTCTGTTTGGGAGACTGGGAATATTTATTTATTTATTTATTTATTTGTTTGTTTCAATTTCTATACCGCCCTTCTCCAATTAGGACTCAGGGCGGTGAACAGCCAAAGTAAAAAACAGGACATACAAAATTTAAAAACAGTTTAAAATAATTAAATATTTTGGCCGTAAATTAAAACAACCCAATTTAAAATCAATTTAAAATTTAACTCAAGCCAGCCCAGCTAGTTGAAATAAATAGGTTTTTAGGGCCCGACGAAAAATCCGGAGGTCTGTTATTGTACGTATCTCTGGGGGGAGGTTGTTCCAGAGGATGGGTGCCGCCACAGAGAAGGCTCTCCCCCTGGGGGTCGCCAGCCGACATTGTCTGGCGGACGGCACCCTGAGGAGGCCCACTCTGTGCGAGCGTACTGGCTGGTGGGAGGCTATTGGTGGCAGAAGGCGGTCTCATAGGTACCCCGGCCCTAAGCCATGGAGCGCTTTAAAGGTGGTCACCAACACCTTGAAGCGCACCCGGAAGACCACCGAGAGCCAGTGCAGCTCGCGCAGGAGAGGTGTCACATGGGAGCGCCTCGTTGCCCCCATAATCCCCTGTGCGGCCGCGTTCTGGACCAACTGGAGCCTCCGGGTGCACCCCAGGGGGAGCCCCATGTAGAGAGAGTTGCAGTAGTCCAGGCGGAAAGTGACGAGTGCCTGAGTGACTGTGCGTAGGGAGTCCCGATCTAGAAAGGGGCGCAACTGGCGTATCAGGCGAACCTGATAAAAAGCCCCCCTGGCCACGGCCGTCAAATAATCTTCTAAAGACAGCCGTGCATCCAGGAGGACGCCCAAGTTATGAGCCCTCTCTGTGGGGGCGAGTGATTCACCCCCAATAGCCAGCGATGGCATCAGCTGGCTATATCGGGATGCCGGAAGCCACAGCCACTCGGTCTTGGAGGGGTTGAGTCGAATATTGCCAAGAAGACAAGAAGGAGAGAAGAAGAATTGAAAACAAGAAAGAGAAAAAAAAGAGAGAAAAGAGAAAATGAATGAATGAATGAGAAAAAAGAAAAAAAGGAAGGAAGGAAGGGGAATAGAGATGAGGCAACTGGTCAAAAGTCAAGGATTATCATTTTTTGTATGTTTACATTTGAACTTCCTGGTAGCATTGACTTGGCCACAATGGATCAAAATGCTAAGCAAGAGAAAACCTTGGTTGAAACAATACCCACAACTCTCCTTCTTTTCTGGTGATTTGAGTTGGCTTGATGAATGTGGAAAGTAATCCCAAGAGTTGGATTATGTTTGTGCTCATTGAAGTCCAATCATTGGAAAAAACTTTCAAGCCATGAAAAAAATAAATAAAAAGTGTGCACAAAGCAAGAGGTGGGAAATGAATTTGCTGGGTGGGAATAAAAGAAAAGGTGAATGCCTGCCTGCTGGAATTATACTCCCCCTGAGATCCACATGGCCTTCCCCATAGGTGTGTTGGAGGCCCTTGAAGCCCAGGTTGAAGCCCCTTCTAAGTCATGCAGGTACACCTCTTCTTGTTGTCTAGTTTTGCCATCTTTTGTTTATTTTTATCATTGTGTTTTTTTATTGCTATTTTTCTTTGTTTTGTGATTAGCCTGGAATCACTGGGTGTTGGGCAATGTGCAAATGTAATAAAGAGGAGAGGTGAGGGAGAGGGGGAAGGGAGAAGCTAGAGATGTAGTGCTGAATGAGTGTTGGGTATAATGTTGGCTCAGTGGTAGCTATAGTGCTAAATCAATATTAGATGTAGTGATAATAATACCCGAATCAAGGACCTACCAAGGAGAAAACCGCTCTTCCACCAACACTGTCAGGGCAAGCTACAGATGGTCCTCGATTTATGACAATTGTGCCCAAAATGTATGTTGCTAAGTGAGAGATTTATTAAGTGAGTTTTGCCCTATTTTATGACCTTTCTTGCCATAGTTGTTAAGTTAATCACTACAATTGTTAAGTCAGCAACATGATTGTTAGTGACTCTGGCCTCCTCATTGACTTTGCTTGTCAGAAGGTCGCAAAAGGTGATCACATGACCCCGGGACATTGCAACTCTCATAAAAATGAGCCAGTTGCCAAGGGTCTGAATTTTGATCGCATAACCGTGGGGATGCTGCAATGGTCATGTGAACAATAATCATAAGTCAGTTTTCAGTTCTGTTGTAACTTTGAACAGTCATTAAACAAGTGGTGTAAATCGAGGACTACCTGTACTTTATATAAACAGGGAGCAAACCCCACACTCCCGTGAAAGTCCAGGACCACATGTGACGTTCTAATTAAACTGATTTATTACTAATGCTTATGTTACAAGTTACTTCTTGTCTTGCCCTCAGATGCTTTGGAAAATAGATTGATACCCTCTTCTCTGTGACAGCCCCCTCAAATATTGGAAGACAACTATCACGTCACACCTAATCCTTTTCTTTATTAGACTTGGCAGACCCAGGAGGCAGGGCAGGGCAGGGCAGGGCAGGGCAGGCCAGGAAAGAAGGAAGGAAGGAAGGAAGGAAGGAAGGAAGGAAGGAAGGAAGGAAGGAGAGAAAGAAAGAGAAAGGAAAGGGAGGGAGGGAAGGAAAGAAGGAAAAGCAGGGAGGGGACAAATGAAGGAAGGGGAGGGAAGGAAGGAATGAGGGAAGGTGGGAGGAGAAAGAAAGAAAGAAAAGAAAGACACTAAAACTGTATGAATGACTTCCAACTTTACCAATTACAGTCTCATTATCCCTCCTCCTAGATGTTATTCAAATCCCTTCAGCTTCTCTCTGAATCCACATCATTTTAAATCTTCAAATCCATAAATCTTTGTTTCATTTCTTTCTTCTTTCAGCAAAAAAGTCCATCTAAGGTTTCCAGCCTTTCAGGAAAGCTTTTGTTGTTGTTTTTTCCCTCTGACTAGAGAGGTCACTTTGCTCTTCCTGCGTATTATGACATTTTCGCAATGCAGACCTTCACTGTGGAAATGTCATTATTCTTCCACTGTGGTACATAACAATAACCTTGCTGACCTGGTATGCCATTCTGATGAAAGCAATGAGTGCTTGAGGAGGCACGTGGTGCCCACGGTACTTGAACTGTAAGGTGGCTTAAGAAAAACCTGCCCAGGCTGAGACAATTGACACTATCTAGAAAATTATTGTTCTGACCTAGGCTTCCTGATACAATAAAAGCACACAATGAGTCCCAAAAACCCTCTTTTTATTTCCACGGCTATGAATTCTGCTCATTCGGAGCCTGTTCGTTCCCAATCTGTTCATTCACAGAGGAGTCCCAAATAATGGTAAAAAGTCTGACAGAAACCTGCCACAGTTCTTCGGGATAATGGTGATAAACACCCATTTTTATATCCCTTGATACGCTGCCAAGACCTAATTGACAATTAACTTTGCAAAGCCACATGGAACACAGTGTCAACACAGAGCTGCAGTCTTGAAACCGGCCAGCACAAACAACAGTTGCTTCCTGCCAAGGGCTCACGTGCCTTTGCTCCTCTTTATGTCTTATGGGAGGGGCCAATAATCTCCAAGCCCTACTCCCGAGTTGTCCCTTTTGCTTTAACTGTTCTTGCCTTCTGGCAGCTCTGCGCATGCGCGCACTGGGAACAGGCTCCCCCTGCTCCTCTGCTTCGCTGATGTCCGACTCTGGAGGCCCCGGAGTCCGCACATAACTCCCAGATGGCCCTGGCCCCATCTCTGCCTCCGATGCAGAGCCCTCATCCAAGCCTTCCCCAGACTCCAGGACTGGCCCATGTTCCCATCCAGACTCCTCACTGTCCGACTCCGCTGCCAGCTCCGCAGGCCACAGGTGGACCACAACAATTATTTGGTCATAACTACAAGCATCAATGGTACCCCATTCCTGTCAATTTACCTTCTTGCCTTTCAGGTGCATTTATTTATTTATTTATTTGTATCTTGCCTTTATTATTTTTACAAATAATTTAAGGCAGCAAACATGTCCAACACACTTTCCTCATTCTATTTTCTCCACAACAATCCTGTGAGGTGGGTCTGGTTCAGAAAGAGTGACTGGTCCAAAGCAGGGCTTGAATTCATGATCTCCCACTTTCTAGCCTGGTGCCTTCACCACTAGAGCAAATTGACTCTCATTAATGGAATTTTTACTTCTTTATTTTTACATAGTTTGGTCTAGTGGTGAAGGCACCAGGCTAGAAACAAGGAGACTGTGAGTTTTATTCCTGCCTTGGGCATGAAAGCTGCCTGGGTGACCAATTACCAGAATCGTAGAATTAATTTTGATCAGCACTGCTAGAGTATATTCATAGCAATGCAAGGTTGTGAGAAAAGTTTGATGTTGCTTTCTATCAAGCCAGAGGAATCAAGAACAGCACAAAGAATTACTTCGGAATGATTTCTCTATTTTTGCTCACCTATAGTCAGGAATCTTGTGAGACTAAAGCACTGTGTTACAGTTAGATATGCCCTTTGAAAGGCTAGGGAGGGTCCACCTTAGCTCTTTTCCTGCCTACCAAAGATTTCAAGCTAAGCTGTCCCTTTGCTCCTGGTGAAAGGTCCCCTCCTTCCTGGGATTCTGGACTATGTTCTA